CGCAGGCCCAGCAGCTCCAGTACTCCCAGTACGAGCACCTCCGGGACCCGCGGCACCAGCACCCTCAGCAGCCGAAGAACCTCCAGCTCCAGCAGCACGCCTCCAGCGCCGGGCAAACCACTCGCGCAGCTCCTGTGGAGAGAGTGGCTCCCGCCGAGACGAAGCACCCGGAGAACCTCCAGGCTCAGCACCGCCAGACGCCACACGAGCAGGCCCAGCTCCCTCAGGCTCCGCACCCCCAGGCTCAGCACCTCCAGGCGTAGCACCCCCAGGCGTAGCACTCCCAGGCTCAGCACCCCCAGGCTCAGGACCCCCAGTAGTAGCACCCCCAGGCTCAGCACCCTCAGGCTCAGCACCCCCAGTAGTAGCACCCTCAGGCTCAGCACCCCCAGGCGTAGCACCCACATGCTCAGCACCCCCAGAGTCAGCAACCCCAGGCTCAGCACCCTCAGCAGCACCAGAGTCACCAGTAACCTCGACAGGCTCGACTGCGTCTACCTGGGACACACCTGAAGGGGCAGGACCCTGAGGGGGGAGGGGGTCTACCGGGGGGGGACCTGGGACAAGGAAGAGCGGTGGCGGGGGGAGGGACGGAGTGCGGTAGGGGAAGAGGCGGTAGTAGGGGACCGACTCGTCAAACGTGACGTCCTGGGAGGACAGGACACGGCGAGAGGTGGGGTGGTAGAACTGCCACCCTGGCGCGTCAGGGGGGAAGCCAAGGAAGACGCAAGGAGCAGCACGAGGGGACAGCTTGTCCGCAGACAAGTCGCGGACAAACGCCCGAGATCCCCAGACACGGAACGCAGACGCATCGCCAACCTTCCCCGTCCACAGCAAAGCTGGGGAGGTCTCCGGCATGGAGACCCGGGGGTGAAGGTTGATCTGATGCGCCGCGTACCGAACCGCAAACGGCCACAGAAAATGGGGGACAGCCGCATGCATCATGGACGTACGGGCGACGTCCATGACCATGCCAATGCGGCGCTCAGCAATCCCATTTTGCTGTGGAGAGTCCGGAAGCGTGAAGGTCTGGCGGATGCCTCGTGCACGACAGTAGGCTCGCAGAAGGCCAGAGGAGAACTCTCCACCTCTGTCAGAGTGCAGACGCTGAACAGGAAAGTCCGAGCCGAAGCTCTGCCTGAGCTGGAGACGAGCTGCGCGGATCCGGTCGATCAACACCTCAGTGACATCACCCTTGCTGCGCAAGGGGAAGACTGTGGTGTAACGCGAGTAGTCGTCAACCACCAGCAGGAAGTAGCGCTCGTGACCCTGTCCACGGACGCGGGCCGGGCCCCACACGTCCATGTGAAGCGTCTGCAGCGGGGCCTCTGTCGGAGGAAACTGGGAGGAGTGAGGGGCAGCCCGCTGCCGCCCCTCGACACAGGGGACGCAGGTAGGGCCAGGCCCCGGAGGAAGGGGAGGGAGGGACCGGGGAAGACCAGAGACAAGGACACGGGAGGCCATGCTTCGGAGACGAATCAGGGAGGGGTGACCAAGGCGGTGGTGCCAGAGGAGAGTCTCGTGAGACAGGAGGCGACACGAACAGGGGGCAGACTCAGGACCAGACCTGGACGCTGCAGCAAACACCTGACCCGACGCAGCTACCTGACCAGACGCAGTGACTGGAGGAGACGCAGTGGTCAGGGTGTACAGGCTCGACCCCGGCCGACGGGTAAACGTGGCCAGGTGTCGGCCTGTCCGAGCGTCCGTGCAGTGGGTCACCCGCCGACTCGCAGGAGTGAACTGGTGAACCCCCGCATCCTGTAGGTCAGCACCACTCACCAAGTTCGTAGAGAACGAGGGAAGGTAAAGACCAGACAGGGTGCCAGAGGGGGCCGCCGGACACGGGAGGACAGTGGAGAAGTGAGCAAGGACAGGACCCCCAGAGGGGTCTGCCAGAGAGACTGCAACTGGCCGGCTAAGCGGCGTGAGTGTGGTGCGGTCTCGAAAGAAGGAGCGAGAAGCCCCCGAGTCAAGGGTGAAGGTGTGGGAGGCCGAAGCCGACGCAGAACCTGAGAGAGCAGACTCACCAGCACCTGAGGGAGCAGACGCACCTAGAGCAGCAGCCTCGCTAGCACCTAGAGCAGCAGCCTCACCAGTACCTAGAGCAGCAGTCTCAATGCCCGGGTCGGGCGGAAAACACCGGTAACAGTCACCCTCATCACTAATAGTCACAGTATACATGGCAGCAAGAATAGCATCAAAGTCAAGGTCAAAGACAGCCACACCTGCCCTAGACAGCTCACCCCAGCGGGGGATCTCAGTGGCCTCAGGGAACTGGTGACGCCAAGCGTCCGTCAGGCGGCCAAAGCAGCGCTGGGTGGAGTGCGCACCCCCGCACTGCTCACCCGCGCGGTCGCCGGTGCGGAGGACGTAGGTGCACGGACCAGTACCCCCACCCCTCTGGCGTGCAGTGTACCACTCACGGAGCTGCTGAGGGGAGGGGATGTCACGAGTGCGCTGCTGGTGCTGCTGCTGCTGCTGGCGCTGACCACCACCGGAGCCGACCCTCTGCGCAGCGCCACCCCGACCAGCTCCACCTCCTCCGCCGCCTCCTCCTCCACCGCCGCCACCTCCGCTCCCTCCGCCACTGCCGCTGCCGCCTCCGCCTCCACTGCCGCCACCGACACCTCCACCCCCGCCACCACCCCCACCGCCACCCCCACCTCCTCCACCGCCTCCACTGCCGCCTCCACCGCCCCCGCTAGCTCCTCCAGCGCCCCTGCCCCCCTTGCCCTTGCCAGGGCGGCGTCTCCCGCTAGGGGTAGACGCCGCACCGACCGACTCAAGCCCAACGAGGTCGGCCGCAGCAGCAGAGGCAACAGAGGGCAAAAGGGGGGAGGGGGAACACCCCTCAAAGATGGGGGTGCGAGGGTCACCACGAGAGGCTCCTACAGCTACTATGCTCTTCTCTGCTGCTAGGAGGGACTTCTCGAGGAGGTCAACGGTGAGAGTGGTGGGGCAAACTGAGAGGAAGTGGTCCCTGACTACGCGAAGGGAGTCAGGGAGCCGGGTGACTATGTAGTAGAGGGTGATGTACATGGGGGGGGGGTTCTTGGCGCAGAACTCAGCAGGAAGCGCAGCGCGGTAGCGAGTGTCACTAGTGCGTAGGTGCGTAATGAGGTCAGCGACTGTGGGAAAGGCAGCAAGGTCAGGGAAGAGGTACGGTAGCATGAGGCGACTCAGCGCAGCAGTGGCAGGGGAGGAGTAGCGTGCAACTACAGCGTCGTACAAGGTCTGAGCACTCTTGTACTGGCTAAAGTGCGCACGCTCAGAGGTAGGCAGGTGGCGACGCACAGCAAGACGTGTAGCAGCATCGCGCGTGGCCCACTGGGAGCGAACAGTTGCGTCAGCATCAGTGGCGGGGGCAGGAGAGGCACCAGAAGTGAGGTCAAAGAGGGAGAGGCCGTCTGCCCTATCGCACTGTAAGAAAAGCTGCAGGTCATCTATCCAGACGTCAAAGTCAATGGCCCGACCCTCAGCGTCAAAAGCGAGGACACTAGGGGTAGCCATGACAGCAGTAGACTAGCAGCGCAAACAGTGGGGTGAGGGCAGTGCTGTGAGAGAGGCGCTGCTCTTACCGGACAGGGCGGCTCGGGCGGCTCGGCTGCAGGGCGGCTCGGCGACTCGGCTGCTGGGCGGCTCGGCTGCTGGGCGGCTCGGCGGCTGGGCGGCTCAGCGGCTCGGCTGCTGGGCGGCTCGGCGGCTCTGCTGCTGGGCGGCTCGGCTGCTGGGCGGCTCGGCGGCTCGGCTGCTGGGCGGCTCGGTGGCTCAGCTGCTGGGCGGCTAGGCTGCTGGGCGGCTCGGCGGGGCCGCTGAGAGGGCGGCGTCCGGGGCCGCTGGGAGGAGGCGGCGGGGCCGCTGAGAGGAGGCGGCGTGGCCGGAAAGGTAGGTGGCGGGGCCGCGTCAGGGGCCGCGACAGGGGCCGCGTCAGGGGCCGCGTCAGGGGCCGCGGCAGGGGCCGCGTCAGGGGCCGCGGCAGGGCCGCGTCAGGGCGCCGCGTCAGGGGCCGCGTCAGGGCGCCGCCAGGGGCCGCGGCAGGGCCGCGTCAGGGCCGCGTCAGGGGCCGCTTCAGGGCCGCGGCAGGGGCCGTAGCAGGCCGCGTCAGGGCCGCGTCAGGGGCCGCGGCAGGGCCGCGTCAGGGCCGCAGCAGGGGCCGCGTCAGGGCGCCGCGTCAGGGGCCGCGTCAGGGCGCCGCCAGGGGCCGCGGCAGGGCCGCGTCAGGGCCGCGTCAGGGCCGCGGCAGAGCCGCGACAGGGCCGCGTCAGGGGCCGCTTCAGGGCCGCGGCAGGGGCCGCGGCAGGCCACGTCAGGGCCGCGTCAGGGGCCGCGGCAGGGCCGCGTCAGGGGCCGCGGCAGGGCCGCGTCAGGGCCGCAGCAGGGGCCGCGTCAGGGCGCCGCGTCAGGGCGCCGCCAGGGGCCGCGGCAGGGCCGCGTCAGGGCCGCGTCAGGGCCGCGGCAGAGCCGCGTCAGGGCCGCGTCAGGGGCCGCTTCAGGGCCGCGGCAGGGGCCGCGGCAGGCCGCGTCAGGGCCGCGTCAGGGGCCGCGGCAGGGCCGCGTCAGGGCGCCGCCAGGGGCCGCGTCAGGCCGCGTCAGGGCCGCGTCAGGGCGCCACCAGGGGGCGCGTCAGGGGCCGCGATAGGGCGCCGGCAGGGGCCTCGTCAGGGCGCCGCCAGGGGCCGCATAGGGGGCGCGTGGGAGGCGGCGTAGGGGCCGCGTAGGGGCAGCGTAGGGGCCGCTAAAAAAAAAAAAAATTTAGGGCAGGGCGCAATGTGCGCGGGCAGCTAAAAAAAAATTCTTATGGTGGGCCCTTAGGAAGGAACGGTCCCATGTAGGAACCCGCTCTATACCATGTGAATCAAGAAAACAGGAATGAAATGACTAAGTGAAAGTTGGGTACAAAAGGCAAACCCTAGGCAACTGTACCCCATATGTGCTACCCCACTGTAGCCTACAGTAGCTATGTCATATAACTCTGACAGGGTGTTCCCGCTGCGCCTATGCGCTCATTGAAAAGACCCAGCAAAGCGGACTTAGCCAGCCACGTCCCTCTGGCTGAGACAAATGAGCGCGACGATGAGCCGGGAGAACAGCCCGAAAAGGACGATGTCGAAGAGGTGGACCCTTTGCGCCCTGCTGCGGCTAATATATCAGAAGAGGATGCAGCGCACATTCTCGGTGACGACCTCGGCGAAGAAAATCCGTACTTGGCGACGGGAACACTGAAAAGTGCGATTCACCGTTGTCAGCTTCCGCTGTTGGGAATCGACCAGGATACCACTCGGCCAAACTACGTGTCTGGCTTCATGCATTTCAAGGCTTGGGCTTGTCTCACGCTGGCGGCCGGAAAATGCAAAGGAGTGCCTGTCGGGGAGCAGGTGGTCAACGAGGATGAGGTCGGGAGAGAGATCAGCAATGATTTGGGGACGGGGTGGAGGGCGGCGCTCCTTAACGAGGAGCACCTGCATGGGCCTTGGACGTCGAAATGGTGCTTGCGGGCTTACGTCGAGTACATGTCGACAGAAACGGACCAACAGGCGGCTTCCTTGGATACCGGGCGGACCAGGGTAGCGGGACGGAAGCCGAAAAAATGCACACCACAGATGATGCTGGCGCGCCTAACTGCGCTAGCGTGCTTGTGCAGGGTGGAGGCCATACTCTTCGACGAACCGCTCACAAAACCCTTGGACGACATCACCGAGGCTAGGCAGCTACTAGTGGTCAAGCTGCGACAGCTGCACGACTACCAGTTCGAGTGAGTACCCTTCCCTACCGCGTCTGCTACTTCTTCTCACTCACTATCTCACTTCTGAGTTGCTGTATCTGCCCACTCAATGCAGGAGGTGCGTCGATCTGCACCGGGGCTCGCTCGACGATTGCTACACGGAGGAGCAGTTCCGCATTCTCGTTTCAGACATCCTGCCGCACTGGGCCAAGGTGTACTTCAGGTCGTCGATGTCACACCCCAGTCTGTCGCTGTGGAAGGCCTTGGCTGTGAGGACGATGATTTTGATGGCGCATCACATGCTGAGCAGGGGGATCAGCATCCGTGAGATCCGCTACTGCAACATGTTCACTCACGTCCTTCTGCCCATCACGAACAGCCCGGGCGAATCATCCATCCTCGTTCTCGTTGTCGCCTATCGCAATTCGAAGACCGTCAAAGACAACAAGCTTGGCCACCTGTACCTCACTCGACACATGGACTTCCAGCAGTGCGGCTTTGGAGCAGTTTTCCTCTGGCTACATTTCATTTTCGACCTCGTCCCCCTCTACTACAACAACGATAAAATCGTGCCCCCCTTGGATTTTTCAAACCCGAAAGCCTGGTCGAAGAAGCACCTGTTCTTCGCCCTCTTCGACAAAGAGAAGAAGGAGATGCCGTACCCGACGCACGCCAAATGGGTGACCTGGGCGATGGATAGCGCGGTGTGGATCCTGTCGAAAGTCACCCACATATTTCGACGGTCTGCGGCACAGATCCTTGCGGACAAGAACTTGGACCTCGACACCATCGCACAGCTTGGTCAATGGGACATGAACGAGATGCGCAGGTCATACGTCAAAGGCATCCCGCGCCCAGCCATCCAAATGCAAGCCGGTTTCTCGGAGGAACCGGGCGACTATTACATCGGAAGATCGAAGACCCAAGTGCCTCCGAAGGTCCAGAAGGCTATTGAGGAGCACATATTTCCTAACGCGGAGCAGTGGCTCATCGAGGTATGGATCTCTCGAGCAATTGGCGTCATCGTCGAACGCAAGATTTGCTAGTATATCAATCTGTCAGTGTCCCTGCGTTACTTTATTTACAGGCCCAGAAGTGGAACAACGAGCAGGACAAGGAACACATGTACTACGCAGCGAAGAGTTTCTTGGAGGCCCTGCTAGCAGGCCGAATGCGCATCGGAGAGGATCTTGCGATGTATTACGTTCATTGTGACGACCACCCCTTCGACGGTGTGAGTGTTTGCGATTGCGAGCGTCACCCTTACGCCCAGATGTCGGGGTTGTGCAAGGACGAAGATTTTCAAAAATGGGCGCTCGACGTGTACTTGCTCGACAAGTACGGCATTAACATGCGGACCAACCCAACGATGTCGAGAGCGACGGTAAGTTGGCCCTGGCACAACTATAAGCGATGACTTGTCATCACTCCACTGATTGCACGTGTCCTTGTGTGCAGGACATCTCCTCTCAACTCAACACCAAGCACTTCATCGCGCAACTTCGGGCCGAGATCAACTTCCACAAAGAGGAGGGAGGGAAAAAAGAGATCAAGATCAACCACCTCGAGCATCAGGTCGAGTCATTGGAGCAGGAGAACAGCTCGATGAAGTCAGAGTTGGAGGCCAAGACAGAGGCGTTCGCGCAACTGCAGAAAGCGTTCGACGCACTGAGAAAGACCGCGGCGACAAGCGCAGGTGCAGATGTGGGGGAGAGCGAGAGCGTGCCACAGACGGCCACTGAAGAAGCCACCCCCGGTCCACAGCAAGCCCAACAAGAAACGCCCTCTCGACAGAGCGTGGGCAATCAGCTCGACCAGGCATTCTTCGACGCGGTGGTGTGGCCGTGGTGCAATTGCGATACCGTGCGGAAGGCGTGGTCGTACTAGGACGGGCCAAGCCCACTGAACAGCGGGCACAGTCTTCGACAGGCGTACAAGAGGGGCTTCGCTGTCAAGTTCTGCAAGTTCACACCGACTCCACCCCCCGTACCCCCCGAAGAGGAGGCCCAGCCAAAAGACAAGCCCCCAACCGCAAAAGCTATCGAGACGAAATTGCGGAAAATGGAGGCTGTCATGAAGGCCGTCGAGCATTTCCGGATCGACGACAGCAGCGCGGCTACGGCGTCGGTCATCGAAAAGCTGGACTCAATTGTGAAGAATCACTCGATCAACATGCTTTCGGAGGGCATTGTTCTCGACGAGGACAGTGGGAGGCAGCTCACGAAAAAGCGCAAAGTCGGGTCTGCAGAGGAAAACCAGAAGGACAAACAACGCCTCAGAATCACTCTGGAGCTCATTCGCGTCCAGCTCCGAACCACAGAATGGGCGGAGACGGTGTTCGGCAAGGAGAAATGGAAAGAGTTCACGAGAACAACTGGCGCGCGGCCTAGTTCGTCGGGAAACCTTGAGGAGGGGGAAACCTAGTGTAGACTTGTATGCTCCCATGATGTGCTACGTGAGACCATGTCGAGCATTCCACCTTGTTTAGCTCAAATAAAAAACACGGTCGAACATGTAATACAATAGGGTCGAAAGTAATGGGAAGAAAACATCTGTCGAATAGACCATGTACTGAATTACGAAGACATCTGTCGAATCATGCAGCAACCTAGTGATAAGAAATGAGGAATGAATGAGAAGAGAGAGGGGTTCACTAGCAAACATTGGGATACATATAGCAAACCCTAAAAGGGTTGTACTCACTATAGAGTACCCCACTGCAGACTAGAGAAACATAATATTCTGACACACCCCCATAGTCAAAGTGGGGTGTAATCAGCACAACAAGCAAAGCAGAACAAGCTCAGGGTGGATCCCAATGTCACCACACATTCTGAGCACAAGTACAAGAAGCAACAGTTTAAAGTTGACAAATGTAAGCAAAGCTAGAGGCTATCGCAGAGGGCAAGTGTGGAGGAGGAGGGACTGTGAGAGGAGAGGAGGTAGTGGGCGGCAGCTGAAGCTGCTGGCACACGGCGCAACTGGAGCAACTGGCACACGGGCAACTGGAGCAACTGGCACACTGGCAACTGGAGCAAGTGGCACACGGGCTACTGGAGTAACTGGCTCCGCGGCTAACTCTGAGCGGCAGGAGCAACGGACTCACGGGCGATTGGAGCAACGGGCTCACGGGCGACTGGCGCAACGGGCTCACGGGCGACTGGCGCAACGGTCTCACGGGCGACTGGAGCTGCGGGCTTCACGGCGGCCACCCCCTTCAACCTCCCCAAACTATCCCACCCCCATTTCACACACCCCCTACTGCACCCCTAGGTTCACTCACACCCCACCCCCTAGCACCACGCCTTTGGCTCCCACACATCCACCCCCCTCAGCGGCAGCTGCAGCAGTGGGAGACAAAGGAGGAGGAGGGGAAGGGAAACATACCATCCATCACCCCCATACCCGCCACCCCCATACCCTCCATTCCACGGCTGCACGCGCAGCAGGGAGACGAAGAAGGGGGGGGGGGGGGGGGGGGGGGAGGGGGAGAGCAGCAACGGGCAGCAACGGGCGGCAATGGGCAGCACAGGGAGGCGGCGGCACCGGGTCCAGGGGCGGCGTCGCGGGGTCCAGGGGCGGCTGCTCCAGGGGCCAGGGGCGGCTGCTGAGGTCCAGGGGCGGCTGCACCAGGGGCGGCTGCTCCAGGGGCCAGGGGCGGCTGCTCCAGGGGCCAGAGGCGGCTGCACCAGGGGCGGCTGCTCCGACGCACGGCCCCCCCCAGGTCGCCCCTCCCGCCGCCTGTTGAGGCGACCTGAGGGGGGGGGGGGGGGGGGGGGGGAGGAGTACGGGAGCCGACGCGCGGCCTCCCAGGGCGCCAGAGCAGGCGGAAGAAGGGGCGACGCGCGCCCCCCCAGGTCGCCCCTCCCGTCGCCTGTTGAGGCGACCTGAGGGGGGGGGGGGGGGGGGAGGAGTACGGGGGCCGACGCGCGGCCTCCCAGGGCGCCAGAGCAGGCGGAAGAAGGGGCGACGCGCGCCCCCCCAGGTCGCGCCCCCCCCCCCCCGGCTCGCCACGTAAGGCGACGGGAAAAGGGGGGGGGTTGCGGTGCACGGGCCCCTGGTGCGCCACGACAGGCATGAGGAGGGCGGGGCCTGGTCAGGGTCGGGGCATGGCAGGGGCAGGGCCGCGTTAGGGCCGCGACAGGGTCGGGGCAGGGCCGCGACAGGTCCGGGACAGGGGCGACGCCGGGCGACGGGGCCGATACGGGGGGCCGCGACGGGGTCCGCGACGAGGGGCCGCGACAGGGCCTTACGGGGGGCCGCGAAGGGCCGTACGAGGGGCCGCGAAGGGCCGTACGAGGGGCCGCGAAGGGCCTGACGAGGGGCCGCGAGGGGGGCCTAACGAGGGGCCGCGAAGGGGCCTTACGAGGGGTCGCGAGGGGGGCCTAACGAGGGGCCGCGAAGGGGCCTTACGAGGGGCCGCGAAGGGGCCTTACGAGGGGCCGCGAAGGGGCCTTACGAGGGGCCGCGAAGGGGGGGCCTAACGAGGGGCCGCGAAGGGCCTTACGAGGGGCCGCTAAGGGCCGTTAAAGGCAGGCGCGACGCGCGCCTCGGGTAGGAAAAAAAAATTTCAGTGGTGGGCCCAAGGATCGAGACAGCTCTATACCATGTGAAATAATGAGGAATGAATGAGAAGAGAGAGGGGTTCACTAGCAAACATTGGGATACATATAGCAAACCCTAAAAGGGCTGTACTCACTATAGAGTACCCCACTGCAGACTAGAGAAACATAATATTCTGACACCCAGTTTTACACAACTATAGTTCACTGTCGAGCAGGTTTAGGGTCGATGAAAATCAAATATTTCTCGATCAGGTTTAGGGTCGAAACAAAGAAAAGCAACGAGTTGCCGAGCAGGTTTAGGGTAAAAAACAAAGAAAACCTTTGCATTTCTCAAATCGACCATATTTCAAACTAAGAACACATCTGTCGAATCTTGCAACAACACCCAAGCAAAGCGCCCGGCTACACTACTCCCCTGTCCCCTCCTCGGTAGCATCCTCCTCGCCCTGCTTCGCCTTGCTTTTTTCTTCAGGCATAGCCAGGCTCCCATAGCCCGCGTCCTCCAGCAAATGGGCAGCAAAGCGACAGCAGCACCATTGCGTACAGACCTTTGCTGCCACGCGCACCATCTGCAACAGGACGGCGTTGGTCGAGCCGAGGCCTTGGACAGCCGTCGAATATAGCAGATCGGGCCACTGCTTGGCCGGGACCGTCTTGCCCACGTGCAAAATAACGGACCTTAGCCCGTTTCGCCGTCTCCGGGGCGAAGAGCGCTGCGTTTGCGGCAGCTAGGGCATCCTTCTGAATATCATCCTTGGACAGTTTCCTGCAGGCCGCCCACAAGCTTGCCACAGTTGCTGCAACGGACATCATGTGCGCCGTCGCGTTCATGTTTTTCGGGACCGGATAAATCAGGTTCCCATGCTTCGTGCCAAGCGTCGCCACCTTCCCTATCGCCGCGCACAGCGCGATTCCCTAGTCGGTTCCGGCTCTCACTTCCTGATTTGCCGTCGCCAGCAGCGACTGGAAACTGCACATCGAAACAAATGCGTTAGTCTGACGGCCGGAATTCGACGGTAAGTACGACATCACTTCGACGGAAAGAACAAAACCGCTTACGACAGACGGACAACAGGACCTCGACACAACTCACTCTTCGAAGCGACATTCCCCTTGTTCTTGCGCCACGCTCCAAACGCCGGTGGCCATACCAGCGGCTGCATCGAGATAGACCTTCCACTGCTTCTCATCCTCCGCCGTGAACTTGTCGTACTTCTGAAGGTCAATGTCGGGGAAGTACACGCGCCAGCAGATGGCCGTACAGAACTTTTGGTCCTCCTCCGTTTCAAAAGTGCCCAGGAACCGCTTCCTCCCGCCGACGGTCTGCTCGGAAACGAACTTCCCCTTCCGCACCATCATGTCTGGTCCTTTGAAGGGAGCTTTGGCGCGGTACGTCTTGCCCTGGTCGTCCGGCGGAGGTGGTGGGGCGTAGTCGAGCACCTTCGACTTCTTCGCCTTCTCGTGTCGAGCAGCAACGACGGTAGACGCCGTCTCGACAGGAGCTTGGCCATGGAGGCTGCCCATCTCCACCAAGTCACCGCTCTCTGCAGCTCGCTTCGACGGCTTCGTCACAGCCTGCCTTTTCTTTGACGCAGGAGCAGGACCAAGAGGAGGGGAATGCGGTTCGCTAAGGCGGACGGTGCCTAGGACGGGAGCAGCGACATGAGCCGCGGGAAGGGCAGAGGAAAATGCCCTCTTTCCCACTGGCTCGACAAGACGACCAGGAACACCGACCTGAGCAGCAGTGTCGGCCGTTGTCTTCGACAGCAACCCACCAGCGACGACGACCTGGCTGGGAGCACCCCATGCCTCCTTCGCTCCTTTCCCGGCTGAGGCGACGGACTCGATAGGGCCGCCACTTTTTTCCCCCGCAACCAATCCTTTCTCACCCTTTTTCCCAAGGCCCGAAAGCATGTCCCGCAGCGGAGCAAAAGCATCAGGCGGAGGCTTCGCTGCCGCTTCGGAGGTCTTCTGAAGGGGCGACTGATCGAGTACAATGACCTCGTTGGCCTCCACGGACTTGCCGACGGGATGACGGGCACGCGACGGTGGGGATGGTACCGGGCTGCCGACATGTCCTCCCACCGAAGAAGAAGGAGGAATCGACCGCTCCTGAACTCGACGCTCACCCCCGCTGCGAACACCAGCCACCCCCTCCTCCTGACGCGACCTCGTCGACGGGCCCGCCGAGCCCCAAAACCCTCTCGCCATCGCTTCGGTGAGGACTTCCAATCTGCCAGCTTCAGCTTCTTTGTAGCCTGCTTTCACAACGTCCTTCATCACCTTCATGCTCTCGGGCGGGATAGCGGAGTAGAACAAGTCCTCCTGGACGGCTTTCTCAATACCCTGCACGACCGAAGCAACCATTCGCTCCTCGACAAGCTTGAGCTGCTTCTCGACGGCGTCCTCGCTCGCTTTTGCGATAGCGGCTGCCACCCCCTCGATGATTTTCCCGCTCATCTCGTCGAGCTTCGTGCGCGCCCCTTCCAACAGTTTCCTCTCCTCCGTGACACCGTTGACGGCGTCGTCGCACTGCTTCAGCGTGCTCTTCGACGCCTCCGAAATCGTATTCCAGGCCGTCCGAATCCCCAGCCAGCTTGTTGAAAACAGCTGCTTGCTCACTGTGCTTCGCAAATACGTCGGCGACGAGCTTCTTCTGCGAAGCCTCGAGCTCCGGATGCAGCTGCCGATTGGCCTGCCGTCAAAGGGAGCCCGGTCGAAGGGCCCGCCTGTCTGCTGCCACTGGCCGTGCGGTGCCTCCTTCTTACTGCGACCTGTCCTGGACGACACTCATGCGCAACCGCCACGCCCTCCTGCTGCTGCCCTCCGACCCCACCCGCCTGCGCAGCCGCCCCGCCCTCCTGCTGCTGCACTCCTGCCCCACCCTCCTACGCAGCCGCCCTGCCCTCCTGCACCTGCATTCCTGCCCCACCCTCCTGCGGAGCCGCTCCGCCCTCCTGGTCCTCGACAGCCCCATCGTCCCCCGTCGCCTGCTGCTCGATATTTACTCCCTCGTCCACCCGCTTCCCGAGCGCCACTCCGTGCTCCTCCGTATGCTCCGTCCCACCTGGATGTTCTCCTGTGCCCTCGGCGTCGTGCTCGTCCGACTCATTGCTCGAGCTCGAGCCGGAACTCGATTCCGAGCTCGAGCCCTCGAGCTCGTTCGCATGGCCGCCAGGGCCGCTCACCCCGTGCTGAGCTTTCCTCGATGTATCCTCCTCGATCTCCTCCTCCTCCTCGTAGGTGTACTCAGCCACGACGTGTGGCCCCCCCTCGCCTCCTCCCTCGTGTTCGGCACCCCCTCCCACTCCTACTCCCTCCGCCACCACTTTCATCCTGTCCCAAAACAGTTTGGCCATGAACGACGGAAGCATACCCGGGCCAGGGCTCGTTCTCCCGAACATCATGAGCTCGCCCTGTCGAGGCTGCAGGATGAATTCGTCCCACTTCGACAGAATCCGGCGCACCCCATGCACGACACGTGCTGCCGCGCCGGGTTCACTGGGGCCCGTCAGGGGCGTCGTCGTCTGCGACGGGTATAAAACTCACGTAAGCGACAGCTTAACATGCTCGACGAAAACATGCACGAATAAGGGTAAGTGTTGGCTTACCAGATGATCGAAACTCCTGATCATTTCCAGGCGCATGTCGATGAGGCTAAGCGCCCCCTGCTCGTGCTCGGTCACGACCCGCTGGGTCGTCGCGTACTCGGCGCGAAGCTGCCGCTTCATCCAACTGCAAAGCAACGGACAGGAGAGTAAGATATTGTCGAGGACGGCAGGTCGACAGCAGGGTGTCAAATCGGTCACTCACACGAACACTTCCTGCGCGAGCGAAGATTGGTGGTTCACCGCGGGAAACCTGTCCTTCGAATCGAAGTGCATCATCCGAGTTCAACAGCCACGGTGCCTCGGAGCCAGCAGATCGTCGGGGCGCGATACCACAAACAGGCTCGAGTGGGAGAACGGCGCCACACTCAGGCTGCATGCAGAACGAATGCACGTGAGCACGGGCTTAGGACTAAACATGGAGCACGCAAGGCGACGGGATAGTGTCAAACTCACGTGGTTCGCAGCAGAACGAGAACCACTTGCTTGCCGAGCAGGCCGTCGAGGTGGTTGCTCGCAAAAGCGATCTGTGCGGGACGCGCCATCTCTTCATGCGCACGCGTCGAAGTCACGATCGACAGCTTGGAGAGCTGCTCGACGGACAGCAGCTCTGTCAGAATGTCATTGTTCTCTAGCCTGCAGTGGGGTACTCTATAGCGAGTACAACCCCTTAGGGTTTCCTATATGTATCCTGCTGCTTTCTAGTGAACCCCCTCCCTCTTCTTCTTCATTCTAAACTTCTCTACCTTCTAATCTTTTCATGCTATCAGAGCAGGTCGATCCCCTTGGGTCGATCCTGTGGGTGGGCCCACCACCTCACTGCTTCCGCTGCTACTGCTACTCTCTGTGTCGCACGCCCCGTGGCGTGCGATGGATTTTTCATCCCGCCGCGCGCTCGGAGCGTGCGGCGGTTTTCTGCCCGCCGTGCTCCCCGAGGCGCGCGGCGGTTTTCTGCCCGCCGTGCGCCCCGAGGCGTGCGGCGGTTGTCTGCCCGCCGTGCGCCCCGAGGCGCGCGGCGGGTTTCTGCCCCGTCACTCCGCGCGTCACTCCCGGGAGGCGCTGCGACGGGCGACGGGGACCCGCGCGTCGCCCCCCGTCGCCCGTCGTGGCCTGCGCGCGGCTCGTACAGCCTGCGCGCGGCCCGTACGGGCTGCGCCAGGCCCGCGCGCGGCCCGTACGGGCTGCGCCAGGCCCGCGCGCGGCCCGTACGGGCTGCGCCAGGCCCGCGCGCGGCTCGGGCCGCCTGCGCGCGGTTCGGGCGGCTGTGCCAGGCCCGTGGGCGGCCCGTTCTTTGCTGCCCCTGCGCTGCCCGCTATCCCCCGTGCTTCTGATGGCGCCCCACCCCTGCTGCTGCCCGTTCTCCTGAATTAGGGTTTGGGGGTGGGGGGTATGGGGGTGCAGCTTCTGTGTGCCGTCCCCTGCTCCTCCTCCTCCTCCGTCTCCCAGTGCTGCAGCTGCCGCTGAGGGGGGTGGACCTGTTGGAGCCGTCGGAGTGGTACTAAGGGGGGTGAAGGGGGAGTGGAGCTAGGGGTGAAGCAGGGGGTGTGTGTCAGGGGGAGTGGGACTGTTTGGGGAGGTTGAACTGAGGTTGCCGTCGTGTCGCCAGCAGCACCTGTAGTCCGGGGAGTTGCTCCGGTAGCCCAGTCGCAGCCAGCTGTGCCAGTCGCCCGTGGGTCCGTTGCTCGTCTGCCGCTACTTTTAGCCGCGGAGCCAGTTACTCCAGTAGTCCGGAGCGTTGTTCCGGTAGCCGCTGTGCCAGTGTGACTCCTGTTGCCCGTGTGTCTGCAGCTTCAGCCGTCGCCTCCTATCTCCTCTCCTCTCACTCTCGCCTCCTCCTCCTCACTTGCCCTCTGCGATAGCCTCTAGCTTTGCTCATAATTGTGAACTTTAAACTATTGCTTCTTGTACGTGTGCTCAGAATGAGTGGTGACATTGTGATCCACCCTGAGCTTGTTCTGCTTTGCTTGCTCTGCTGATTACACCCCACTTTGGCTATGGGGGTGTGTCAGAATGTCATTGTTCTCTAGCCTGCAGTGGGGTACTCTATAGCGAGTACAACCCCTTAGGGTTTCCTATATGTATCCTGCTGCTTTCTAGTGAACCCCCTCCCTCTTCTTCTTCATTCTAAACTTCTCTACCTTGAAAAGAGGCTGAAAAGAAAAGTCAGAGTCAGAGATAGGTAAACATGGCAAACCGAAAATGCTCGACAGGACACGTACACAACGCCCGCATTCTTCATCATCTCGTCGAGCTCCGCCTTCGGCGCCTCGCTTAGCGCAATCAACTGGTCTTCGAACACCTCCACCTCGACCCCGCCTGCGGTCACGATGAGGCCGTGTTGAACCGTCGGCTCGGTCGCGACGGGTAGGGAGGCGGGGCCCGTATCCATGGCAGGCCTAGCAGTAGGGAGGGCGGGAGCGCAGGGAAGTTGGGAACTAGGGAGTAGGGAAGAAAAACTCGGAGACTGCAACAAAATGAGAACGCCGTCTGGGTATTAGCTGTTTGCCATCCCCCTCCACCGAGACAGACTCGGGTGCAAGGGCGACGAGGCAGGGCGCGTTCCGCGACGGCGGGAGGAGGAGCTTTTCGGAGAGGACGGCGGGGCCGTATTGGCCTCGACCTGAATTGTGGTGGTTGGTTGCATGAGGGGGCGTTCGACACGTCAGCGGGGTCGAGCGCCCAACGAAACGGGCCCGTTGAGGGCCAGAGCAGTGGAGCGCGGCGTAGATGGGCGTCGCCTCCGTCCGCTCGCGAAAATTCGCGGACGGGTTCCGTCATCGAAGCGACGCCCGGCGACGGTTCCGTGGGTTACCGGACGGAACCCAACTACGAACCGAGGGTGGGGTTGGGTTCGGTCGGGGGGGACCACTGCCAGCTCAAGGGCGCGGGTTGCTGGCGTTACGCGCAGCTGGCGCCAGCTGGAGGTGCCCGTTTTCGGGCGGGAGGGGGGGGGGGTGGCTCCCGCCCCTCGCGTGCTCCGCTACGCGACTGCGGGAAAACGAAAATCCCTCCGAGGAAAACCCGCAGGGGCAAACGGGATTTCGCGGAGGGATGTGACTGATATCTTCCCATACACAAAAGGAACGACTCGATGTAATAGGGTTATTGGGTCACCAGCTCGTGTTACAAATACTGTCCTTCATAGCATTCTCGCCGCACGTTGCTTGCACGTGAATGTTGGTCTCCTCGCTGATCAAGCAAACCCGCCAACCAAACCATACGCTGCCTATTCAGCGGGCTCGCTATCAGGTTACGATAAAATGCTAGTGTACAACATTTAGGAGAGCAGTGAAACCTATATCATAACAGAACATAAAAGAAAAGGATAACAAAAAACAAAACTTGGATAATATGCATTTTCAGCATCATGATTTCATGTAACATATTTCATTCCCAGATTAGGGAATTGCTATAAAACAATCCTTGACAATTTATGTATTCAAAATATGCATATCCGATGAATATATATATATATATTAAATCTTGAAATTGTTGGGCTGAAAATGCGGAGATAACTGCTGCAACGGGAGCTAGGCTACGGGCTAGGCACGGGTGCTCGTGTGATCTCTGCGTTCGTTCACTTAGTCGTTTCCTTGTGTTCACGCTGCTTGCTAGTTCACGGGGAGAATCGGCAAGAGTTTCACTAGGAAAAAATGACAACAATCGTTCAATGAAGTTGGGATGGCAAGGCTACATCAGAGCAAGCATTCAGGTCGGTCGACTGCCAGTGCAGCATGGTCGACCGTGTTCCAGCACGACTTGGTCGACCGTGTTCCAGCACGACTTGGTCGACCGCGCTCCAGCAGTGCAACGTCGACAGCGTGCCAACGTCGCAGGTTGGCGGCGTGCCAGCGTTGCTCCCGCAGTACAGCAGCGCACCCACTTCGCAGGTGCTTGCAGACGATTGGCAGGCTGAGCCTCGTCACCTGCACAACGCACACACCAAGTCACCTTCGTGCTGACGACAGCACCTGATCCGCCACGTCGACCTCGGGATACCACCACCGAGGTCGGACTCGCCAACTTTGCCTGGGCGACCGTCGCACTCCTCCGCAGAACCTCGTCACCCAGGTAACCTGGTCGACCGGGTAACCACGTCGACCAGCTGCTCCCGTACGTGCCCGTCCACCTCCCAAGTCGACGACCACCTCCACGTCGACCTCACCAGGTCGACCACTCCCCTGGTCGACCAGCTCCAGGTCGACGTCACCTCTGGACGGCCAGCTCCGCGTCGACCAGCACTTCTGGTCGGCTAGCTCTACGTCGACCAGCGCGGTTGTCGGCCGACCACCGAAGTCGGCTGCCCCAAGTTGATGTCACCAAGTTGACGTCCTCCGCAGGTCGACCTCCCAGGTCGACCTCCCCCGAAGACGGCGCCCGTGCAGTGGCCCCCGTGCAGGTCGACCTCCTCGTCAACCAGCTCGCCCACTGCTGCAGGTCGGCTGCTTCCCTCACACCCGACCACGAAGTCGGCTCCACCCACGCGAGGACGGGGCCAACACACAACTCCCGTTGACACTCCCCTGCCTCGTTCACGCTTGGGCCCCCAGCCCACACGGCAGTACTCCTCGGAGAATAGCTCATCGACGTGCACCCAACACACAGCACGTCGTCCACCGCACCAGCCATGCAAGAGGGCATGGCACCTACTACTGCACTTCGTCAACTTCGTCACCCACGTCGGCCAAGCGCACCTGGCCGATGGCGACGGAGCACCGGTTGAAGGCCGGATAGTGCAGCGCCTTCATCAGGAAGTCGGCCTACTG